TCAAACAAACATGCTTTTCTGTGTGTGTGTGTGTGTGTGTGTGTGTGTGTGTGTGTGTGTGTGTGTGTGTGTGTGTTCGGTAGTTGTAATGACTTGACTCGAGTTTTAGTAGAAAGGGGACTGTAGATCCTGAAATATCCAGGGATGTGATGACAAGGCTATTGTGCTGGAGTTACTGTGCTCTATAGCTCTGGATTTATCACTTTGTGTCACTTGGGAGGAAGGATAACAGATAAAAGATTGTCCCCCTGTCTTTATTTTGTAGTCTTTTCAAATCTCTGTTGATGGGTGCTTTGAAAAGTCTGTAAACCCTCTGAACAAAATGCTGGAGACAAGTTACCAAGCTTTTCTTAAATGGGGGATTTCCTCAGGTTTATTGTAGTGACCCAACACAGAAATCAGGAGAAAGTTTTTGGAGCATTTGGGAATTGGAGACAAAAATACTATTTCAACAGTTAGCATTGTGTCTGCTGTCATCTTGGTTTATTTATTTATTATTATTTATAAAGAACATGCGATACCAGAATTTTAATTTAGTTTAATTCATTTTTATTTATAGAGTGCCAAATCACAACAACAGTTACCTTAAGGTGATTTATATTGTAAAGTAAAGACCCTTTACTAGAGAGAAAACCCCAACAATCAAACGACCTCCTTTGAGCAAGCATTTGGTTACAGTGGGAAAGAAAAACTCCCTTTTAACAGGAAGAAGTCTTAAGCAGAACCAGGCAAAAGACACACTGTAGCACATCAAAAGTGTAGCACAGGCATCTTGGAAGGGGTGTTAGAACAGTAGCATAGCAGCCCATATTATTATTCTTACAACCACGTTAAAAACTCCAGAAGGCACAAACACTAAAACAGTGAAGAGATCCAGTTCAGTGAGTTGAACTGGTGGAGGTTAAACCCAGCAGATAGACAGCAGACTGGCTGGCTGTAGATAGAGCATAGCTTTAGGCCTTGATACAGTTCAAACAGGCGAGTTCAGACACATCCTGCATACAGTTATCAGCCTGTTCACATATTTAATTTTGCTAGAAAGTTAGAGATGTTAATATGGCAGTCCACAGGGATTGACTCAGAACTGCAGGTTTTGTAGGGTTTCTCCATTGGCTTCATTTACATGAGCTTGGTATTTCCATGCCTATTAATAGAAAATAAAGCCTGTTATCAGTGAATGAATATGAGTGATGACTCAATTAAACTGACACGAGTCTGAGTGCAGGTGAAGCTTTCTGATTAGTCATTCACTTACTGTATATTTTGGAGGATGGAAGGAGCAGATCTGAGATGAGGGCGCACGGGTGCTCTGAAGCATTCTCCCTGTGCCTGAGGGCAGGTGAGGGGCTGCATGGTGGCTACAGGAACAGAGATTGGGAGGTGGGTGGGCTGACAGTGCCACAACATTGTTGAGCATCGCAATCCCCTTCGGTGGGTTATCAGGCTGCAGACACACTGGCAGAGTGGCAGAGATGGGGATAGAAGCACTGCCTCCTCAGATAAACAAATCACTGCTTACAATGGAGAAACAGGAGAATGTGACATTAATAGGGAGCAAAGAGTGGGACAAAAGAGAAAAGAACAAAGGGTGATTTAAAAAAAAAAACAGCTTAGACTGCAAAAGAGAGCAGAGCTAATAAGGGAGGAAATAAAAGATGGCAACTCGTGAGATAAACTCCTCTGTCAGACCAGTCCGAGTTTTAAACTTTCAGTTTTTGGAGACGCAAGTTATTCCCAACTAAATGTCAGTGCTGCTTCTCCTCTTGTCCTTTTGTCCTGTCTTCTTTAACGGTCTGTGTGTGTCTGTGTTAGAGGGACTTAAAAAAAAAAAGAAAAATGAAATAAAGGACCAAATCTCTCCATGTTTGTGTACGCGCGCACGAAAGAGAGAAAGAGCGTCTGGATGTGCAGATAGATCATGGAGTGCATTGCAGAGCCCTTTCTGTGGCTAGTTCTGTGGATACAGAAGAAAAGGGGAATTCATTTCAGTGCTTAGGAGCTTGTGTGTACGCCTGTATGTGTGCTGGCTGCCGATAGGAGCACAGCGGCACATGGCGGTGCAGCTGCAGAGGGCTGATAGCGCTATCTGATTGTGAGCGTGCCGTCTCCCTCTAAGGCTCGCTCAGGAGAGAATGGAACGGAAGATCAAGGATGACAGCGAAAAAATGGCATTTTATCTCAAAATAGTTCAAAGTTTATAAATAAAATAACGCTTTTCACTGGGACTGGGAGAAGGAGATAAAACGCCAGCTCGCTCTAGCTTCAGCCACCTTCTCGCCAATGTCTTGTCCTCTCTCTACTTCCTCTCCTTTCCTCTTTTTTTTTTTGCTCCTCCTTTTTCCCCCTTTTTCCCTCCCAAAACTAATTTAGAAAGAGAAGCATTTTGGAGTTTTAATAATAAACCTGCATGCAGAGGTTAGAGTGGAGGCTGTTGAAATGCATCTCTTTTCCTGCGTGTGTACACACAACCACACATGGAACGAATGCTTATCATGACTGTGCATTGTTAGCATGTTGCCACAGCTCATTCTTGATTTCAAGGACTTCAGTCATCAAGGAGGACATTTCAGAACCCGTGAAAGATATGAACAAGCGTTTAAAAGACAAAACTCTAGTAGTGTGTTTCTCTGTGGATGGTCCTCAAACAAACATGCTTTTCTGTGTGTGTGTGTGGAACATCTTATTTTACTAGACCCGTTTATTTTCTTCTCTTGTCTATAGGTGAACTTCCAGTTGGCCAATGTCATGGACCTGTTCACCACTAGTCTGGTTCTCGCTGGCATCAACCCTCCTGATGATCGAATCCTAGACGGACTGGACCTAACACCTGTTTTGCTCAACTCCTCCCAGCCACTCAAAAACAGGTGAGCACACACACACACACACACACTTTTGGTCTTCCTTAACTCCTCAAGAAAATATCCCCTACAACATTACACCAACACCAGTCTAAATTGTTGGATAAATCAATGCTTTCTTTTTATTTATGCCAAATTCTGACCCTTGCATCTGAATATTGCACCAGAAATTGAGACTCACAAGACCAGGCAGCGTATTTGAAATCTTCTATTGTTCAGTTTCCTTTTTTTAGCAGACCATCTGCTTCAAGGTCTGTTGCAGATGTAGTGATAACAAGTGGTTATTTGAATTACTTATGTTTCAATTCTGAGATGGTTGTGTTGGAAAATCCCAGTTGACCAGCAGGTTCTGATCTACTGGTGACCATCTGACCCCAATAACCAAATATATAGTCACTTACATCACCTTTCTTCCCCATTCTGATCCCCGGTTTGAACTTTAACAGGTCATCTTGCCCACGTCTACGTGCCTAAAGACACTGAATTGCTGCCATGTGATTGGCTGATTAGATATTTGCGTTAGCAGGTGCGCCTAATAAAGTGGCTGATGAGTGTAATTGCCTCTACAATGAATCTTAATGTCTTTTTGCTATATGCTACGAAAATGTTGACATTTGAGGGTTTCATACAAATGCATAAAAACACTGTACAAAGGTTCATGTCTCCATCAGGATGATATTTTTTTAAACCTGTGTGGCTCCCACAACTTTTGCTTTCTGTGCCATTATTCACTCCTTTTCTAGTGACAGACTCTTAATTTTGACCAAAAAACAACACAGTTTGAGTGATTTTTAGGGAGTTCACGTTCCTCCTCTGATGTATAAAAAAAAGTGCAAGAATGCAAGATTGGACATTTTCTAAGGCAATTTGATGTTAATATATGCAAGTTGAAGTAAATCTGAGCTTAATTTCTGCCTCTTCTCGCCATCTTCAGGCCAATATTTTATTACCGTGGGAATAAACTGATGGCTGTGAGGCTTGGACAATACAAGGCACACTACTGGACCTGGAGCAACTCATGGGAGGAGTTTAGACAGGTGAGATTCCCTCTGAACAGTTCAACTCTGTTCCTCAGTTCTTCATTTGCACTGCCACATCCTCCTCCTTTGTCTCTCCTAATCGCACTCAAACACACAAACACTTTGGCTGTTGCTGGTGTTATCTTGAGAGCGGCTCATCAGTTGACTGCTGTGTACATCAGTGTAATGAATATTAATGAAGAGCCCCCACATAAGCGAATGTACATCATTCATCAACCAGATGACTTGTTTGTTCAAACTCCAGTGGAAATACCCCCCCACCCCCCACCCCAAAATTTACATATCATCATTACCTGCTTGTTCTTTTGGCATCATAGCGCTCAGGCGTAATTACATCAACTCAGTGCGGATTAAAAATATCAATAGAAATGTGAAATCTGGCACCTGAGAAGCTAAAGTATAGTGCGTTTTCTTTTTTTTTTCTTTTTTCCCTGGCTACCCCGAGCCCATCTATAAAAACATGTCCTTCTGTCCTCCCTCCATGGCTATGCCTTTCCTGTGATCCAGTTTGTTTTATGCCCCATCGGTTGCTTAAATTGCTCTCTCCTTCAGGGCCGCTGAATCAATAGTAGCCTCCTTTATCAACTCATGTGAACTGAAGTGGAACTTCACAAATAATGGCGTCTGATTGCCTGTGAGTTGCCTATCGATTGGTGTGTGTGTGTGTGTGTGTGTGCGCACATGGGAGAGAGAAAAGACAGAATGAAAAAAAAACATGCACATACATGTTCGGGCTTCTTTGTACAGACGTGCGTGTCTAGTGTGTTTCGCTGACCGACGGTTGAGCTCCTACAAGACAAATCCCCGATGTCATTATGAACTCCTAAACTGTTTCTTCTTGTGTTGCCCACATTCACTTTTCATACATCTGCTTTAAAGGTAATGCTCTACTTTCTTTGGAATTGATCATTCCTACTAAACTCATGTTAAAGATAACCCACCCCATATACACTGAGGATTAACCCGTCTCATGATAGTGATACACAATGAAATCCACTCCTCACTGAAATGAAACATGTATTGCTGCTTTGTAAGTAATGTGCTGCAGTACAATTTGGCTTTTTTTGTGCTCCTTGCTGAAAAATAAACAAGGAAGGAAGATGTGTGTCTCTAAAGAAGAATGAAATTACAGGTTAATGGCTGGGAGACGTGTTGCTCTGTCCTGGCTGAGTCTGTGCTGCTCAGCCATGAGGAAAATGAGAAATTTCACAGGCTTAAATGCCTCTCATCAAATTCTTTTGAGGCAGCGTATTGATGTTAATATTGTGAAACATAGTTTGTCGTGACTGTGTCTCCCTTTTATCTGGATTGCTGAGTAACCTATGCAACTGTGAGTAGCCTTGCTGGATGCTTCATATGGCGAAAACTGAAAAAGGATGTTTTTTTGAGACAACTGTACTGGGAATACCTCTTCTTGGCATCACTGAAACTGAAGAAATTGACAAGAATTAGGCTGTGCCATAGCTGATGTACTTTAAACTTGAATTATAACTTTTATAATTTTTACATTAACACACACTTTAATGCACACTGGTGGAAAAAAACACAATCAGTCTTTAATTTAGTAAAAGTACTAATTCATAAATGATGTCCAAATATTTCCAACAATGTTCAAAGAAAACTGTAATCCTCAAATGAACCTGTCACATCCATTTTACACTCTCTGGTTACTCTCACACTGTAAACACTTGGTAATAATGGTGACAATAAGCTTAAAGTAATTCAAATATTCACTAAGTTATTCTGAGCATCGGATATAACATTAGCTCAAGTAACAGCTTAAGCAGTCAACTCATCTGATGCTAGGTTAGCAGTTAATGTTACTGCAGCTAATGCTACTTGTTGCCTTTTGATCTATTATTAAATAAAAGATTTATTAGAATAAAAAATAGTGTGAATAAAACTGTAATAAACTCAGCTCAAGTCACATCATTTCATCAGAAATGTTGAAAAAGACAATAACTCCCATGATTCCTCATAGCATCATGTTATAGTATTGACAAACCCCAGGCAGCAGAAATTATTGTTCATTCAAGTAAAAGCACAAATAAATTATCATACTTGGAGCTTCCCTCCAGTCAGTAACGTGTTTTGGTTGGAGTTGTTTCTTTTAGATGTTTTGCCTTCATTCTGCAGAATGAGAAAAGTAAAGTACACCCTCTTTAAATTCAAAGGTTTTACAAATCAGGACATAATAAAAAATAATCTGGTCCTTAGCAAGTCTTAAAGCAAGGCAACCTCATATGGAAAATAACACATAGCATATTACACTTTTGCCAGTTTTGCCAGTTTGCACGTCTTGAGCATTCTGGTGAGTGTTAACACAATGCCAAGAGGAAAGATATCAGCAATAGAGAAGCAATTATTGCTGCCAATCAATCTGGGAAGGGTTAAAAGGACATTTCCAAACAATTTGAAGTCCATCAATCTGCACTGAGAAAGATTATTCACAGGTGGAAAACCTTTAAGACAGCTGCCAATCTTCCCAGCAGTGGACGTCCCAGCAGATTCACCCCAAGGTCAGGCCATGCAATGCTCAAAGACAAAAAAATCTGCAACCTACATCTGAGACTCTACAGGTCTTAGTTTGCATCTTAAATGTTCATAACAGTACAATTACAAAAAGGTTTGTTTGGAAAGCCTGCCATGGAGAGAAAGCAAAACTAAGCTGCTTCTTGCAAGAGGATGGATTTCCTTTAAACAGGGATTGTATTAATTTTGTGACAGTAAAACTAGGATTTTGTTGTAGTCCAATCATTTATTTACATGAATCCAGCATAGAAATTCTCCTGTTGAGTTGGTTGAAGCTCTCTTAATCACGCACACAACTGATATACATGCAAAAATGTCCTGTTTTAGCTCAGTTTCGATGCTTGTTAAAATAGAGCAAATGCAAAAACTCCAGTAAACTTAAAGTTAAGTTGTTTAATATCACCAACTACAATGGCCATAACACAGATCTGAGGGTTCATGAGAGGCTTGATTGGTATGAAATATTTTTAACAGTTTTTAAATGTTTTTTTTGTCAAATACATTTTACTATCTTTACCTGTTTCTGTTCTTTAAATTGCTGTTCCGATTATTCAAATATTCAGTATGTGAAAGAAAGAATATATTTAAACATTGTCCAGTCTACATAAAACGATCCAGCCAAATCAAATACTTTTTCCTCATTTCCATCCCCAAAATCCACGCTCCCACCCATGGATGCTCCTGCACCTTATCTTGTAATGACGACCACTGTTCTCCAGTTTAAAAGCAACCTTGCTGTATCCATAGCATTAATATCATGTCAGATATGGAGTTCTTGCTCTAATATCTTGGCTACAAGAGAAAAAGTCAGACAGATACACACAGCAGGCCTTTCTTGCTGCTCCTCTGGGATGGTTTTTTTTTTTTCCCCTGATTCTTTTCTGCATTTCTAAGCAGTTGACTTTAAAAGGCAGGACAAGTCTGGATCAGTGGAAGCTCTGCAGGGCGGGGGGTATCTATCTTCACTCTCACTCTTTCTCTCTCTTCTATATGTATTTTGAGGTGCTCCGTTGAGTGATCTCAGAGGGGGGGCAGCAACAATGTCTTACAGATGAATGCTTTTTCAATATTAGTTGTGCTCATCAAAAAAAAAACCCAAAAGTGTGAGTTTGTTTGTGCGTGCGTGTGCTTATGTGTGTATTAAAGGAGGAGGCAGATCTCCAGGGGGTTCTGGAGGAGTGAGTGTGACTCAATCAGGCTGCGATCACTGCCAGGCTCCTGAGAAATAGAGTCAGGGAGCAGGAGCGAAGGCGTGGAGAGATGAAGAGGAGGCAGCAAAATTTCTCTGTTTTGCGAGAAAGCCTTCACGGTGTACCAACAGGAGCACAAATAACACAGCAGATTGGAAGACAATATGCATATAACCCATACTACAATGAGATTAAGCATTCAGCTCTTGGCAGCAGGTGGCTGCAAGCCTAAACCTAAACACTCACATCTCTCCTGCCGAGCTTAGTGCAGTGTTTTTTTTTTTAATTGGACATGATGAAGCACATAAAAACCTTAACCATCAAACTTAAAGACAAATTGTAATCACATTACTGAGATCCTTATTTTCATGATGTCTTAAGTGTCATTTATGTGGTGCAATACGAGCCAAAGCAAATATTCTATTTCTTCCTTTCTTGCTGCACTGACTTCAGATATTATGTTTCATGTTTAATTAGGATAGTATTTCAGGCAGGTCTGCTCTTTGTGTCATAGATTAGTCTTCTACACGAATAAGCACAGAAGGCAGCGGCCGTGCTGCTGCCACACGAGTATCGATTTGTTTGGTGAACTGATGCTTCAGGAGGCATATAAACTGGAAAATATAGACAGAAGAAAGGTTCCACTTCTTTAAAATGTTGATTTTAAAACAAATTGAATCAATTGTAGAATACTTATTCTGGGGTAGATTAAAGTACAGGCAGTCTAGGTGAAGGACTTTACCTGTAGCTCAGATCAATGTGCTTAATAACACGTGTCATATGTTTTACAGGGCATAAACTTCTGTCCGGGTGAAGAGGTGCCAAATGTGACTACTCACGAGCAGAAGGAGCACACACTCCAGCCACTCATTTTCCACCTGGGGCGGGATCCTGGAGAAAAGTTCCCTCTCAGGTCAGTACCTTAAAAAAGTTCAATTTTGCTTTTAGCTGATCTCCAGGAAACGGACAGAGAGGATCAGGGGTGAGGTGTGGAGAAGAGGGGAGTCAAGCAGGCTAACAGGGAAAAAGCTGTGGGGGAAAAAAGGGAAGAAAGCAGGGATAAGAATAAGAAGGTTGTTTGCCCGTGGTACTGAATGTGTGCAAGATCAATGAAGATTTAGCGGCATGAAAAAAAAGAAAAAGGCGGCGGATTGATCCACTCAGCCAGAGCACGCCTGATTACACCCTTCTCTTTGTGATTGCAAACAGCTCCTTAAAGATCACTATCGGGCCCTCAACCCTTTGGTACATCGCTGCAGGTTAAAATTGCAAGATAAATTGTTCAGGTCTAAATTGAGAGCTAGTTCTGTTTAATGTGTTTTGTGTGGGTCTGCCTCCTCTCCAAGGAGAGTTAAGAATCACGGAGACAGGATGCAAACGGCCGACGTTGAACTATTACTAAATAAGGGTGAAAAGATGAATGAGCACCGTCTTCCGCTGTGCCTGGACAGCGCGAGATGTTCAATGTGACCATGTAGATTTTTTTTTTAAATGACAGAGTGACTAATACATTAAGATAATCTCAAAATGCTTTCAGGAAAGAATTTTCTGTGGCTCCTCCTGTCATAAACCCTCTTAGACTGACCTTTCTTTTCTGCCTTCTGCAGCTTAGCCGCTCATACTTTTTTTGCTCTAGCCTCATCTCCTCATTTGCTTCCTGCTTGTGCTCCTCTCTGTTCTGGAGCGAGATTGGATGATAAAACATTAATGCTGTTTTTCGTTTGCCCACCTTTTAGCCTTGCTATTCACTCGGAGGAATAAAAAAAAAAGAGGCAGAAACCAATCAATATGCAGACATGTGTTGTGCTGAGTGCTAGATGTGCACACACACACACACATCCACACAAACCAAAACTGCCCATTTATTTTATTTTTTTACTTCTGCACAGAGGGGTTAGTGAGTTTGTCTCCAAGGTCACGCCCCCGCCAACGCCAAGCTGCCTGACCTCTTCACTGTTCACGTGCCGTTCTTCTTCGATCCGTTTTAATCTTCACTATAAATTCTCCTTCTTTGCCAAACTTGTTTTCCCTTCTCGCACCTTCTCCCTCCACCTACTGCTATGCATCTCATCTCACTTGTCGCCTCTCAGCTGCTGTCCCTCTGCATCCGCCGGGACTGTGCTCCTCCATCCACACATGTGTGTGTGTGTGTGTGTTTGTCTGCACATGTGCATGCGTGTGTTTTGTCCGTGTGCTCTCAGGTCCCCCAGCTGGACCGGCTGCCTGGCCATCATTAATCTTAGTCAGCACCTAAAGAGCCACTTAAGATGATGTAGGGCCTGTCTGTGCACATACCTTCACTACTGTCGCAGGCTGTGATGTAGCAAAGAGCGCACACATGTACACAGTTTCTGTTCCTGCACAGTTCCATGTCGTTATGGAGAATTTTGAATTATTTCCTTTTTTTAAGTTCTAGTTGTTTCCATTTTGCCTCGTGAGAGCAAAAAAAAAAATGTCTTGCTGCTATTGTAAATGAATGTGAGCCTGGGGAGGATGACAGGGTCTGTGTTGGTGGTCCTTCTGTCCAGGATGAAACACAGAGCCATCCAGGTTTGCATCAGCCTAACTCAATGATGGCTACGCTGGACTCTCAAAGCCTCTCTCTGCCTCCCACATTACCCTTCGTCCCTGTGACCTAATGCCCTGAGATTAACACATCCTACTTCCTCACCACCTACCTCGGCTTTTGTCCCCAGAGCCCCCGGGTCATGTGTGGTGTAAGCCCCAGCCCTAACACTGCAGGCAGCCTTGCTCAAGTCTGGCCTCATCTGCTGCCTGCCACCATGCTCTTCTGTCCCCAATCAATAGTCCCTCACTGAAGTGCTCAATTTCCACCGGGGTGGAGAAGATGGTGGAGGGGAGGGGCAGGCAGGACAGATGTATTTGATTGTCTCCTCAATTCCCCCACCTTCTGCTACTGTGTGGTTGTTTGTGTGTATGTGTTCCAGCAATAGTGTTATGAATCAGTAATCAGAGCGGTGACACACCTGAGCTATGCCCCCATCCCCCTTGGGTGCCATACATTATAAATCAAAAGACTCCATTTGCATACAGCCTGCTTATTATTCCAGATTTTGCCTCTACACTAGTAAGCTAAGGGTTATAATCATGATAATGAGCTGTGCTGACTGTGGGCTTTTCATTATTTGTTTGCAGAGGGGGTATAAACAAATGATATTATTAGTTTTTGATTTAGAGCTTCTGCACTGTAAGATTTTTGGCGCATAGACAAAACAATGGAAAACTTTGCGTCTCGTGCAACTTTCTCGCGCTTTGCTATACTTTGCTTTGCACACTTGCACGGAGAAATTGAATACTTACAGCAGCCTGATAAATCTCCCTTACATTTACTTCTGTTAAGCTGCTTCATCACTTATCGCAAAATGAATCGCAACAATCAGGAGCCGGCACAGATAGGAGGGGAATGAAATATCCCTCTTGCTGATCGAGATCGAGCAAAAAGCAGAATTTGTGATTTCAGATAGCTGAAGCAATTTAATCTGAATGCTGGATGTTTAACACAGCGGAGCAATCTGGTTTTTCCCTATCAGCTAGGGTCACAATGCATAGATAGTTAGCTTATGACAAACGCAGCGCACAAGGAGAGAGACTAATTGCAGCGAGCGCTACCAGTCAAGTAATTGCAGGAGGAAGTAAAGAGTGAGTATCAAGGAAAGGAGCAGGTGCTGGTTGATGGAGGAAGCCTTGCTGCCCTGTGGGAGATCTAAGAGGGAGGGTAGGTGTGAGCTGGACAGGGCCTGGGGTTATTACTCTAATTGACACTTCACCTCACACACATGCACATGTTCCCCAGGGGCCAATCAGAGCATTGCGTTTGCAGTGGAGGGAGGATGGAAGGCTGGCACAGGTGCTGCCTGCGAGTGTATCAGGGGTGTAATTGCACTGCTGATATTTGTCTATCCCTGTGTCACGCCACCAGACGCTCACTCCCCCAACAGACACACACACACACAGAGCCCATTAACCCTACAGGTCCTATTGAGAGCAGCGTTCCTTTGAAAGCCTTCAGGGCCCCTGTGTTTTACACTCTGAATATAATAATGCACAGAGGTGCCCGGGCTCACTGGTGTCCAACAACAGTAATTGAGAGACAGGGGATGTGATGGGGGTTACATAGTTCATCCTGCTGAGCGTGCCTTCCCAAAGGGTACAAGAGTGGACAGCCTGTGTGTGTGTTTATGTGTTTAGGTTTCTGTTTTTGTCATCGAAAGCTGCGGCTCGTCCCCCCACCGATATAATGAGTAACGCTCGTGGGCCGCAGTCATGTTTTGTCACTAGATACATGAACAGAAAGGCAGAAAAATGGGTGATCTTTATTCCGTGTGTTTCAAACACAAAAGCAGCCTTGCCTTTCTCATATGTACTTTGTCCAGAACATAAAACAACTGGTTCCATTCAGGATTAACTGTTCAGATCGCTGTTAAAGAAAATTTGGTATTTAATATATTAAAATCTGATTTTATTCTTTGTAACATTACTACAAGATGATGTCATCAATTAGTCAAATATACTTTGCATCTCTGTTGACAATCATTCAATTTAAAGCACAAAATTTTCTCACATGTTAGTTTTTATCATGTTTCCTTGTCATGCATCAATATAAATGAATAATGTTTGGAGTTTTGGAGCTTTGGTTAACTAAAATGATAATCATTTACTTGAAAGTGCTCTGCCGATAATACCCAGCTGTTTATTGTGTTGGCAGTGTTCTTTCTAAGGAGTACCAGGGCGCTCTGAGCGGGATATCTGCAGTTGTGCAGCAGCATAAAGACACTCTGGTGCCCGGCATTCCCCAGCTCAACATGTGTGACAGTGCAGTGATGGTGAGACACAATATAACTAAATATATCTCTTACGGTCATGTTTAAGATCAGTTGTTATGTTGTAAATCCGACTACTAGATCAGGTGCTCTTCTCAGCTGTATACATCAGATAAATTGATATGTAAGTGACAATGATAAACCCTTTAAGGGCCAGAAAGAATTAAGTCTATGGGAGAACAAGCTAAAATAGAGAAGGCTCCTGGCCTTGCTTTGAATCAATCGTAGCTTTTATTTTGTTGTTTGTGTGCTAACTTTACATATCAGTGTGTACCGATTTGATGACATCTTCCCCTTCTGTCTGGAACTTTCTCTTTCAGTGTTATTGTAACGGTATTATTTAAAAAGCAGCCTGGCTTTGTCTCCCCAAGCGCCCACCTTATTTGTGGCATGGCACTGCCCCCTGGTGGTCATTCAAATAAACACGCTACATTGCGTCCAATTCCTGTCTTTGGTAGAAGTGTGATAATTTAAATGCTTAAAAGCCTGAATTATTGCATCTTTCTATTCTGCATTTTTCATAAGGAAAAATAATTTTTTTTTTAATCTTTTTAACATGGTTTTGTCATTTACTCTACTTTTAGAGTAATGGTGCACGAGAAAATGTGCACAATCTAGTAGGTAATACGACCGCTCAAGGTCAAACTGGTAAATTTGAAGTAAGAAGTCATTAAAATTTCATAGCACCACTTCAGTATTTGAAAAATACACTTTATGCATGGTGTGTATTGGGAAAGAATAATCAGTTTTTCAATCAATTAAGTTTTTTGATGAAAAATGTTACACTGGGATAATATGTATTCATAGTTTAACATTTAAAAAAGAAAAAGACTTGATACGAACCAGAACACAGGACAGGAAACTGTGGAAAGGGTGGGTCACAAATATTATCTGCTGCTTTCAGCCTAGTGAAGATCAGTTACGACTTTAAAAATCAGCAATGCATTGTACATTTGATACTTTCATTTTGCTGTACTTACTGTGTGGACCTCTCTGTTTTATAGAACTGGGCCCCAGCTGGCTGTAAGAAGTTGGGAAAGTGTCTGAAACCGCCCGAGTCTAACCCCTGGAAGTGCGACTGGCCACACTGAGAGCAAAAGTACTGGACGCCAACATGAGGAACTAAAACCTGAAGATGTGCCAAGCCATAGAATAGGACACAGCCTCTGTGTGTAAAGGAATGTATTTTTAAACTCTTTGTGTTTTTGTACAATGTTTGAAGAAAAGAGCATTCGGTCAAATCAGGGAAACATGTTTGCAAACTATGATTGCAGTTATTTTTATATCTGTGTGTTTTAATCTGCCAACTCTATTTCAACTTGCTATGGAATGGATAAAACAGATTTTACTGGTGTAGATGAAGGATGCCAAACTCATTTTACATTGTGAGCCACATACATCCCACTTTAATTTGAAGTGGGCCATACCAGTGAAACTTCCCTTTCTGTCTTTAATTACACATTTAATCCTTGAGATATCTTAATATGAGCAATAGAAGTGCAATTTCAGCAGCATTTATCAGGTTTTTTTCTACGTGGTAAAGAACTGCTGCTCAAGTTAATGAAACAAGTCTGTCAGCACTCTTACACTGTAAGAAAAAAATTGTATGGGCTTAAATTGTGAGAAATATGTAAAATTGGGTGTAAAAAGAAAACGTGTATTTATGTGTACAGTGCATAGGTTTAGTGGATACACAGGGTATCTTGTGAATGCATTGTAAAACACACACACATAAAGAAATTCCTATACTAAATATTAAAAAAAGTTTTTTTCTTCATTATTTCATTTTTTATGTATGTTTAACTTATGTGTCAGGTCATTATCAGTCAAAATAAAGCTGTAACACCTATAAACATATAGTTAAAAGGGCAACAATTGCACCTTCCTTCACATTTTTAAATGCTTTTCAGTTAGGCCGGATTAGAGTCTATGCCGGGGTGATTCTGGCCCCCGGGCCTTGTGTTTGACACCTTTGCTGCAGATGGTGGGTCCTTGTCATTATTGTATACTGCTCAAACACAGGAATCCAAATTGAACACAGCATCATCTTGCTGGGTAACCTTTTTGTTCAGGTATAATACATACCGCACCCTGATGTGCTGGTCTCCATAATCAGTCCAGCCACATACATGCATCCACCAAAGCAAACCTAGTGCACTTCACAACATGCAAAATCCAAAGGTAGTGTCACAGCGTGGGGGGTCCAGAGTCCGTGTCCCAGTAGGGCAGAACTGTTTTGGTGGCATGAGAGGAAAGGGCTTCATACACTATGTGCTCATAAAGGATTTGTTCCTGTGGCCAAAAATATCTGATGGTAATTTCAAGAGTCAAGATTAGCTGTATTTCTCACATACATAATTATACAAGTAAAATCTGCAGTGAAATGCATATGCACCAATTCTAAGGAGCTTGGAAAGAAAAGCATCTGGACTTCTTTAAGTTTCCTTGAAGACGTTTCACCTCTCATCCCCTCAAGCCAAGACCTACACAAGCCAAGGTGTAGGTCACAGTCAGCCGAGGGTTTCGGGTGAACCCATTGTGAAGCCCAGCTCCACCCTATCATGTGATTTCCTGAGGTCAGATGGCCCAGGATGTGAGTGGGCATTAAGGCATCTGGGAAGGGATCTCAAAACTGGATTATAGATGACAGACAGTTGGTGTTGTAAACCACCACCTCTGTTCAAAGATGGTTGTTCACAGTGGACATAGATGTCTTCTTTCACTCCTCTTTCAAACCATCTGTTTTCTCTGTCCAAAATGTGAACATTAGCATCCTCGGAAGAGTGACCTTTGTCCTTTAGATGCAGATGGACAGCCGAGTCTTGTCCCGTCAAGGTGGCTCTTCTATGTTGTGCCATATGTTTATGAAGTGCCTGTACAGCCACTTCATAAACATATGGCAGCTTGCGGACAGCTTGGGGAGACTCCCATAAGATTTAAAATCCGGGATTCTCCACCAGTTGCTCTTAGAACTGAAGAAGCTTCTCAGATGAGAGGTGAAACATCTTTAGACTAGGATGACCTGGATGACTGAGAAGCTTCACAGATGCTTATGCACCAATCTGACTGAGAATAAATAAGAGGAAGACATAGCTTTTTAAAATGTAGCCACAATTAGCCAACTGGTAGCACAACCATAGTCCAAGTATGAGTATCAGAGTAGTCAGGGCGTAGGCTTATTAGGGCATGGTTTGACTCTGCTGAAACAGAAATCTTCAGTTATTTCCTGTTGATGTTCAATATTTACTGAAGTTGATGAAGATGTTAATTATGATGTTATCCATCCTTAAAGCAAATATGATGTGTTACCCACAGTGTCACTGCAGTGTCTGCCCTCAGTGGTGGTTCAGCTCTGGCTCTAGGTAAGGTTTCTGTTGGAGCCAGAGCTCATTTTTACTTGTGTTTTTTCCCCCTGAGCAGTGATAAGTAGCAGTAAGTGTGAAAATACAGTGTCTATTCTTGTGACCAGTCATTTTCTATTTCTATCAAAGGAAATTGCATGTTTCAGGAAACAGACTGAGCAAGTTCTCTGTTGAAATCAGATCATCGTGCTGTAGAATGACAACAAAACAGACAGCCATGGAAGTGGACACTGCTTTTCTCAAATCCAGGAGGGGGATTGTGAAGGTGACAGAGATGGTGAGATATCTGCTTATATCCTAACTTTGGACATTTGGCGTAATGCGGTGTAAAACAGCTGATACATGCCGTTTCGCTGCCTTGTGCCTGTTAAAAAAGGGGAACGGAAACAGAACATGGCGCAATTGCTTCATAATGCTATATGCTTTAGCTGGTAAATGTTAGTATGTGATTTAAAGGCTGTTGCTGAAGTGGATCATGACCTATTTAATCTTTTTAAATGTCATGAGGAAAGCTTCTCAAAATGACAGTTCCTGTTTTTCTCTCTAAACTGAGAGGTGCAACACGTTGCAAAAAAACTGCAAAGCAACCAGAAGGAAGGAGACCTCACAGTACACAATGCAGTTTTAAAATACGCTGTTATCAAACACCACAGTGTTTTTTTTCTTGGCTCTGTTATCTCAGTGACAGTTTCTCTTTGCAATCTCCCCCTCTCTGCTTTAGGTGACTCTGTTTGTGGCTTTTGTGTGTTTCGCTGTAGCCTCGACACCCAAGTACATCGCAGCCACAGCGTTGGAGTTTTTCATCACCTCGCTTCTGCTGGTGCTCTACCTGCTCAAACTCAACAAGAGGCTGACCTTCTTCTTTTGGCCTCTAGTTGTAAGTGATGTGTTACAGCTTTGGACATAGTGAGAGAGAGTGAAAAAAAAGTGTGACTGCCTGTTGCATGTTCAAGCTCTTGTTCTTTTCTTTTTGTTCTCCTTCTTCAGGATGTATTGAATTCGGTCTTTGCGAGCGTTTACTTCATCACCTTGAGCTTGATGGCTATGACTTCTTACATTAACACAGGCATGCTGATTGGAGGGGTGAGATGTATTTAAGTGTATATACAGTATGCTCAGTAACATTAAACCTTCATGCATTGGCATAGATTCACTTCTGGAGCACTACTCTAAGTTTAAACAAGCCTTTACCCCTGAATGACTTGTTTTCTTGTTTCTCAAAGAGAGGCAAGTCCTTAAAGTTTGACTGTGTAAAAAACGTAAAAACACTCCCAATATGAGTAGCCTACATACACCCGAACACACACATATGGAATGCAATGGATGTATGCTGAGATGTACCCTCTTTTTGCAGATCATGTGTTTCCTCTTAGCTGTGCTGCTGTGCGTTGAGAGCTACATTCTGTTCAGTATCATCACATTCAACAGGCCGAGGACTGAAACGCAGAATACATAAAGCAGACGAACTGCAGCAAACTAATGACAACGTGTGCGCATGAATGACCCCAACCTGCTAACTGCTTTTGCATTCTGTGCGTAGTTTAAAGGTTTAGCTGTAGAAGTGTTTGTTAGTTTATCCACAGGCATATTTGATTCTGTAACTAAGCATGGTGTGGCTGTTTAAGATTTCTAAATTGTAAAGGGAAAGAGAAAAAAAAACAAATATCAATAAAGATTTTTTTTTTCTTTGTGACATCATGAGTTGTATATTTCCGCCGTTGTGTGCAGCTGGGGGCATCGCATTTCACATCTGGAGAAAGCAGATGTTGCGCTTCTTTTTTTTTTGGCGCTCCCGCTGCATTTCCGAGCTTGTCATTGTTTCCGCTTCCACCTCAGAGAAGCCTCACGCCTCCTCATATCTCATTTGAGTGTTTGTGTGTGTGCGTGTGTTAATTTTTCACTAAAATCGCTGCAGTACTTGTAGTTTGAGCAGCCCGGAGCTCGAGGAGAGTTTTTCTTTTCATAACAATGGGGGACATCGAGGCTCCCAGCTCGAACCGGCCGCCCCAGACTGTCCTGAAGTCTATTCTTCCCAGCAAAGAGTTCGTCACATCCAGGAAAGGAATGCTGCTTATTGCTGAAGTGGTAAGAAATGACCCGATGAGCCAGGCCAGCAAATTTGAGCGCCAGTGGACCGTTGTTTCACCAAAGGCGCAGAGTTGTGGGTAGTTTCTGGCGGTTGTTGCAGACACTGGACTGTGTTGCTTTCAGCGCACATTCAGAAATAACTTTAAAAGCTTGGTTAACTGTCATTTTGGGTTCACTCGGTTTCCGTTAGGTCTCCTTTAGAAACGGGAAGAACAGTAAATTTAAAGCAGCCGTGAGACAAGCTTAGGAAACTCTGACTGACTTTATACTGGATCATACTGGTTTGGATGGACACGCGGTGAAAAGCCTGAGGTAACCACTGTTGTCCACGCTGTCAGTGATCCAAGTAAACCACGGTCTAATTCCAGGCTCTATTTTGTGCACAATTCATTTCAAGTTCAAATACCCACGTGTATTGAGAAGAACTTGGGTTTTTATTGTCGATTTCAACAAACCAAATACTGAAAAGCTGTCTGCGCCATGGTGTTAGTGTGAGATTACCAGCATCGCGAGTTATTTGTGGGAAGGGTCTTCTCGCTGCAAACCCTCAAACTGGGTCATGTGACATTCGGCTCACGCTGGGCTGTGAGTGAGCAGTTATCTTCCCCGCAGTCACATCCTTTACTGTATGTCGCCTGGAGCACAGCTCTACACTCCCACACAAAGCACAGTCTCTTTACTGCTGCTTCACAGCGTGGAATGGCCTATAACCCACGTTAAACAAGACCCAGATAGTAGTGTGCAAAAGTCTTTAGCCAACCCTAATATCTTTATATTTCCTATATTCTTGAAGGAGCCAGAATTTGTTGTTACCAGTAGTGGCAGGCTTGTTAAAGGTCTTTTAAAGTTTTTTCTTTGGACAGCCCCAGTAGTTGAACATTTTCAGATAATTTATTTTACTTAAGCCACATAATACTCAGCCAAGAACCAGTTGTATCTTTAGCCTCTTTGTTATTAGCAGCCTGTCACAAAAATACATTTGTTTCGATTTGGTCGAATCTTTAATAATGCCAACGATAAGACAGCTTGATAGAGATAAAATTATATCTTTTGCACAAACAAGGTGATTCTCACAGAACTATTGGCTGAAAGCTTGGCATATCTCGGCATGATGTGCAGTGTGTCCTTAAAAAAAATCTCAGAAAACTGGACAAGTGGTGGACAAATGAAAAGAGCGAGGTATGGCAAATCATGCAAGAGGTGGACTGAAAATCAGTGGCAACAGGTCTGATGTAGTGTTAATACCAAACTTGATATTTTTGGTTGTATATATGGAGGAGGGGAGGAGAGAGGTACAACAGTGAGTGTTTGTAAATCAAAGTGGAGGCTCTGTCATGGTTTGGGGCTGAACTTCAGCCAGTGATGTTGGAGAACCCGACCAAATTGGTGGAATTATGAACAGAGAAAAGTACCATTAGATTTTGATCCACCATCTGCAAAGCATGTGATTGGCAACACCTTCATTGTTCAGCATGACAATCACCCCAAAACACACTGCCAGTGCAGTAAAATCATACCTGGATAGAAAAACAGACAATGAGACACTGTCAGTCCTGGATTGGCCTCGCAGAGCCTTGATCTCGACATTATTGAAGCCGCGTGGGATCATCTTGACAGAGAACAGAAAAAAAGCCAGCCAACATCCAAAGACTTAAAGAAATGACAAGAAAGCTTGCCTAAGAGAGTTCAGCCTGTTCTTAGAGTAAAGGTGGCCATGTCAAATATTAACCTTCAGGCTTGTTAGAATTGCACAAACTCTGTTTTTGCCTTACATACTGTATTTCCATCTAAATCACATTTTCCTAGCAAAATATAAAGAAATCAAAGGCAACACAAGACTTTTGTCAACAGTAGAAGTCAGAAGTGTGTCCTACTTGGACTGTAGGTGAGATACCACGCCTGGTTTAGGCTTATTTTAGGAGATTTGTGATATACTATGCAGCACTTCTGTTCAGTGAGTCCATCTAACATTCCTAAACTTTTCATAAGTGAAGCGTGTCAGTGCATCTCGCTGTATGTGAGTGGTATGCTTTGCAGGATTTTCAAGATTTTGAAATCTGTTTCTTATACTTTCCAACTCTTTGCTTATTTGATTTTTGAAGCATCTGTTTAAATGCCAAACAGTTAAAAATGTTTTCTCCTTCACCTCAGCACCACAAACAATAATCCACCGGTATAAAAATGAGGGACAAGTCTGAATGAAGGGTGGCCTTTTCAAATGTTACGTTTTTATCTCAGTGTTAAAGGTATGATACGAGGCATGAAGCTAAATGAATTTGCTTTAAGTTGCTGTGTAAGCTAAACGTCCTCGCAGTAGTTGGGAAACCTTTGAATGAACTCGCACATCTGTGTGCGATTGTCTTTCTGATTGAAAAGATTTCAAATAATACGACACAAGTCCACAGTCGCTGAACTCAAATGTTACACATAAGGCTTCTAAAGAAAATAGATCATACCATAATACCACTGTTGCGCTGCTTGGACGTATTAGGCAGGCTCCTATATGCATCTGCTGAGCATGCAATACCGTACATGGTGTGTCAGACCACTGTGTCTTTCTGTGTAACCACAGGGTCTACATTTAATGTGCAGTAAAAGACAGGACTGTGTAGTGTTTGACATGTTTCCAAAATGCAAACAAGCTGTTAATAAGAGGCACATGTTGAGGCAAAGCATACCACTTTAAAGTGAGGTGATAGACTAAACTAAAAATCTAAAGATTGTGAGGCTTCTCAGCTCGGTACATAATGCATGATGGATGTTTTTGAGAGGTTACAAGCCCAGATTCACACTCACAGGAATAAACAGTCTTCCATAAATATCTCATGGCATATTTGAATAATTCTTCTTCTTGGATGTTGTCAGTGTTTAGAATGAAACTGGCCAGTATAGGTTGGAAAAGATTTAATTGATAATCTATTAATCAGTGTCTTTTTCCCAGTGATTCTTTTTCATTTAACTGCAACGTTTCTTTTTAATTAGTTTTACATAATTATAATCAAAACAATAATTTTTTTTCTTTTTTACTGACACGAGTCCAGCCACACTGTAACAGAATATACTCAAAACTTTACTGTTAAGTGTTGCCTTACAGGAAAGTTTTACATCGCTCAGTAGCAGCGTTTTTATAGAACGGCAGCTGCAGGAGTTTGGGTTTAGTCAGACAGAGTTCCTACGATCAGGCTAGTGTGGGATAACTGACTGAGACAAAGACAAGATGGCCGTGGCTGTTTGAGATTACAGCGTCTGGGCTCGCCTTCATTTGTGCTGATGTGGTGTGTCCAGCTCTTCCAGTGGGGAGCTTCAAAGACAAGGCGGACTCGGCCGTCTCGTCTTTGTGATTAATAAAACCAATAAAACATTTTCCTTTATTTTAGCTGCGTTTGTTTTGTGGATGTTTGCACAAGCATACATGTGGGAGGCATACAGAGAAGGGTGACGGAGTAGAAGCCTGTGTGAATAGCTTTTAACAGCTGTATCTCCTTACAGGAAGTGGGCCTGAAGCTGTAATTCACACAGACTAACAGCTTCGGGGCACTGCTACAGTTCATTATTTAGATCTGACTTGCAGAATCCTACTTGGAAATAACTCCACACCATCTGCTGTCTTAAACTTTTTATTTCAAATGCCAAAGAGTGGTCTTATTTTCTATTTCTCTTTGTTTTGTCTTGCTCTTTTTAGGGTCTGTCCTTTATATCATTCGTGTGCTTCGCTGGATCCTCGGCAGCAGCATTCGTGACCGTCCCCCTGCTGGCATTCCTGGCTTCTCTCTTCTTGCTGTTTGGTTACTCCACCAAATTCAACGAGAGGTTTAAAGGTTTCTGCTGGCCTCTAACGGTGAGAGCAGCTGTTTCAGAAAGAACCTTGAAACTTTGCCCCGCATGATCTTGCGGCGCTAAATGAAGAAATTAGTCGTGTAGTGTTTGATTGTGTCTCTGAATCAGCTCCGGTGTTTTTCTCTCAAAGGATTTCATTAGATGCGTGACTGCCTCCATTATCTTTTTCATCATCTCAATAATGGCAGTGTCCAGATACTCAGACGGTTCCTCAAAGGCTGCTGGGGTAACGCTGTCATCATCATCAGCATAGTCCATAACTGAATACATTTGTCATTGTATTCACATTGTATTTGCCTCTTTTTGCAGATATTTGGGTTCATCGCCACCATTGTTTTTGCCGTAGATTTTTATTTCATTTTTAATGAGCTGGCCAGTTTCTTGAAGCAAGGAGGGGAGTCCAACGAGGAACCGTCAAGACAGCAAGGTAACAAAGTCACCTCATGTACATATAAGTACATGTTTAATGTAGTTTCATAATAGGAGAGAAATAGGTAAAAATAAAATGCAGGCTCTGAGTACAGGTCCAATCACTGGCCACTTTATTAGTTGCACCTTGGTAGTTGTGTTTTGGACCCTCTTCTTTCTTCTTTGTGGCAAATGCTTGAAGCATCCATCAGATGATGGACACTGTGGTTATAAAGGGATTGAAATGATCAGCAATAATACTTGATATTATTTGTAATTCCAAGCAGAGTTATTATAGTTACATTTTCTAGTTAGTCTTTATTTCATTTCATTTTGACTTTTTGCTTTTAATTCAGTCTCAATCCAGTTACTTTCCAGAGTTGAACTTCTTGTTTCAGTTTAGCTTTTATTGTTATAAAATAATGAAAACACTTAACGGTTTGAAAGCAGTTGACTCACAGTCTTGTAGACAACCTGAATCTCAGTGAACATATCCATCATCGCCTCATCAGTCAAGTCGTTATAAAGTTTTTAACTAAACTAAACTAAGCTAAAACTAAAACTTTTATTTTTAGTTTTTTCACATCTAGTTTTAGTTTTTAGTTTAGTTTTAGTAAACTAGAATGAACTTGCTGCTAATTGTGCCAAGAAAATATCTCCCTCACCATTACAGCTTTCATGTTGTGTAGAGACTTATCAGACCAGGCAGCATTTCTCTAATCTTATATTGTACAATTTTGGTGGTCCAATGTCAACTGTAGCACCAGTTTCCAGTTCTTAGCTGACAGGAATGATACCCAGTGTGGTCGCCTGACCTTTGGCATCAACAAGGCATTTTCAGCCAAAGAATATTTTCTCTTTTTTTGAACCATTTGCTGTGAAACATAGGGAAGATCTAAATAAATACCAACAACCACAGCACATTCAGAGTCACTTAAACCAACTTCCACCTCACTGTGAAGGTTAGCAGGTCACCTTGACAGCGGGTTGCCCCCATGTGAGTGAACAGGTGTACCTAATAAAGTGGCCAGTGAGAGTATGTGCCTTGGAGTGATTATTATTGCGATTTGCCACTAAGTAAATAAAACTGAATTGAACTGAATTGAATGACACACCTGGACCTGTAAACTGTTCAGGTAAACATGTTTTTAACTGCATGATTAAAAATGCCATTTTTCATGCTTTCACTGCCATAACTGAAGTATTTTGTTTCCACACTGAGGTGGCGGCACACATTCAGAGATGGATCATTTATAAACTTCACTTTGATGTCTGATCCCACTGTGCAAAGCATTTTGTGCAAAGCATGAACCAACCCTTTCAACAAAAAAGTTTCATTTCATTCCTCAAAGCGTGCACTCTGTTAATGAAAACAAAACTGGCACCCTTAGACAATTCTCTATGTTCAAAAGATAAAAAATGCCTTTCTCCAAGCGCACCACGTTTTGTGCGCTTGTTATTTTCTTCCTTATTGATGTAGCTCGTCCACAGAAAGTGCACCCAGAGAAGTGACACTCTGTCTGACGCAGGGTTTTCTTCCCTTTTTTTGTTTTGTAGATGAATTTTCAGACTCTGACTCAGACTGAAACTGTGGGGATCTTTGGCAGAAGATGTGTGATCATGCAGTCTATTCCTTTGTGGTAAAAATCAACACTGCCGAGCAGATATTTGCAAACACCTGCCTGGTTTTTGTGCAACAGAGTTACAGAAGGACACTGTGTATCAAGGTCAGACTCATTGTTGGTCAGTTTCAAGTCGCCGAACACGAACAAAGAAGGTTTTAGTGCAATTCACACATTAGAAAAAATACTTTTTAAACTGACGCATCAAACACGCCAGCCTTCTGTTTTATTGGTTGTTACACAAAGTTTATAAAATATGTTCTTTTCTTTTTTCATGTTCAAGTTTACTTCCAGTGTCTTAGATCATTTGCCAAAAATGTAAGAGCTACTATCACTCCAACACTTTCCTGAAGCTGTGAAACTGTTTCTGCTCATGTTATGGAGAAGCAGTTATTAACATCAAAATGTGCGTGCATTATGTCTAAATCAGGGGAAAATGCTCTAGCCCTGTTTACATGTTTGCACACTAGAACACTGCAAAATGCCTTATTGAATAAATGTTTACCAATGTACTAATAATGTAATGATGCTGTAACAGGAATTCAGACCAGGAGGCCTGCTTAATTATCCTTTATTAAATTGACAGCATTATGTTTATAACCCTGTTTCCTATAAAGTTTGCACACTGTGTAAAATGCAAAGATATACA